ATAAAGTTGTCTAACTGTTGCATATGTGTCTTACCTAACAACCTGTCGGTATTGTATACCATTTTGATGCCTAAGATGGTATTAATTTAGAGTAAAACTGCCTAAGATGGTATTAATTTAGAGTAAAACTGCCTAAGATGGTATTAATTTAGAGTAAAACTGCCTAAGATGGTATTAATTTAGAGTAAAAACTGCCTAAGATGGCATTAATTTAGAGTAAAACTGCCTAAGATGGTATTAATTTAGAGTAAAACTGCCTAAGATGGTATTAATTTAGAGTAAAACTGCCTAAGATGGTATTAATTTAGAGTAAAACTGCCTAAGATGGTATTAATTTAGAGTAAAACTGCCTAAGATGGTATTAATTTAGAGTAAAACTGCCTAAGATGAGTATTAATTTAGAGTAAAACTGCCTAAGATGAGTATTAATTTAGAGTAAAACTACCTAAGATGGTATTAATTTAGAGTAAAACTGCCTAAGATGAGTATTAATTTAGAGTAAAACTGCCTAAGATGAGTATTAATTTAGAGTAAAACTACCTAAGATGGTATTAATTTAGAGTAAAACTGCCTAAGATGAGTATTAATTTAGAGTAAAAGTGCCTAAGATGGCATTAATTTAGAGTAAAACTGCCTAAGATGGCATTAATTTAGAGTAAAACTGCCTAAGATGGCATTAATTTAGAGAAACTGCCTAAGATGAGTATTAATTTAGAGTAAAACTGCCTAAGATGAGTATTAATTTAGAGTAAAACTGCCTAAGATGGTATTAATTTAGAGTAAAACTGCCTAAGATGAGTATTAATTTAGAGTAAAACTACCTAAACTCGTAGATCTTTACAGATGTCATAGTGAACGTACCTAGGTTGAGAAAAAAAAACAATCTGACACTAAATTTAATTTACGAGTCGCAAAAACGTAATAATAGCATTGTGAAGGAAAATAGACACGAATACGGTATAATGCGTATCAATAAAGGATGATATTATACTACATTTGTGTTTATTTTTCTTGTGTTTCTATGTTTCCCCATCTTATGTTCAAACACATGACAAGGTTGGATAAATACATGAGTGGGTGCGGGTGGGTGTGAGTTGGACCTGACTGGCTAGCTTGTGCTACTAGGTCAGATGCCCTGCTCCTTCCTTAAGTGATTGTGACTTGACCTAACAAGGTTAGGGCATTGGCTTAAGCCGGTAGGAGACTTGGATCTGCCTCGCATGGGCCAGTAGGCCTGCTGAAGTGTTCTTTATGGTCTTAAGCCTCAGCCTGCAGGGACTGATTAACTCACTTACCACACTTCAAGATTTTACAGACGAATCTTACATCAACATGACTACCTGGAGTCCATTTGGAGTTGAATTCTGGGTCAGTGCTCTCGCGGCCATGCCCCAGATGAGGCCTTCCATTTGCTCACCTGATCGACTAGGCTGTTGGTGTAAGCTGCACACAGTCCAACGTATGTACCATAGCCCGGCTGATCAGGAATTGACTTCATAAACTTATCAAGATTCCTCTTGAAGACAGCCAGAAGTTTGTCGGTAACTTCTCCTTGTGCATGAAGAGTGCATATTGGAGAATCTTTATCTCTTAAACTTATCGAGTTTCTGACTCACAAAATCGTAATGACACAATTGCAAACAAACCACGGTACGGGTGGGGATTGAACTCGCGGGAAGTGAGTCCTAAAATCCCAAGCCAGCGAGTAAGCCACTACTGGCTACAATAAGATTCATCCAACTAAGTATATTTATACACCATGGGGAGGTTAGCATGGGCCTCCACTGTGATCACATTTGTGTTTTTTTTTTTTAATAATTATCGAGTTTCTTATTGAATTCATTGTACGCCTGCTTTTCAATACAGGGATTTTGCTTATCTGTCAAACCTCTTCTGGCAGTCTAGTTGAAGAATTTAGGAGGAATGAAGAAAATAATGGAAGTATGGAGGAAACTTTCAAACAGAAGATCAGAGTACAATAGAACGTAAGTCAAATATGAAAGATCTGAGAGTGTTAATGTCAGATGATCTCACCATCAAGGAGCACAATGTTATTATCGCATCTGCAAAAAAAAAAACATAGGTTGGATAACTAGAACCTTCAAAAAATAGATACCAAAACACTCTTCAGGTCACTTATTCTTTATAGCCTGGAGTACTGATGTGTATTAACATCCCCCTTCAAGGTCGGCGAAATTGCTCAACTGGAAAAATGTACAGAGAACCTTTACAGCTCGTATAAACTCGGTTAAGAACCTACATTACTATGAGCACTTGAAGTCTTAGAATGGTACTCCTCAGAAGCAATAAATTGCCTTCTACGACAGCAAGAGTCTTCGCAGATGGTGCATGATTCCCCAAATGAAAAGCAGGGGAACAGTGATCACACTAAGAGTGAATTCAGTAAGTGTAAAGGAATCACTACTTATCAACACTGTATATGTGTGGTATACAGTACCGACAAGATGAAGTATCAGACACATGTGCAACATCAGGGTATCTTTATTTGTAGACATTTCGCCATCCAGTAGCTTTATCAATACAATTCAAGGACATAATGTGCAGAATATAGCACTATATACGATAATCAGTCCCTCACTCAGCCTTGGAGAATCTGAAGCACAGGCAGATTCACATTCAGGCGTCACTTGGTTACTTAACATAACCAAATGACGCTTGAAGGGATGATGATGGCGAAGTGTTCAGCCTCTAGGTGTTCCATGTACAAGTTGGGTAGAACGGCACTGATGGGGCACCCCATTCCCATGCCGTAGGTTTGTTTGTAGAGCTTGTTATTGAAAGAAAAACAGTTGAAATTAACACAGTGTTCAATCAAGTCAACAAAATCTCCGGGAGGTAGAGGAAGATTAAGGTCCTGATTGACTTTACGTCATAGAACCTCGATGGCTTTTGTGGTAGGTACTATAGTGAAGAGGAAAATCACGTCCAAACTGCTTAGTTTCTTGTTACGGATGGAGAGGTTTCGGATGCGGTTGAGAGGGTCGCCTGAATGCTTAAGATGAGCTGGGCTGATGGTCCCCAGAAGGCAGGAAAGATGTTTGGCAAGAACTCCGGCTAGTTTGTGTGGTGCACTGCCTATACCTGACGTGATTGGTCTGAGAGAAGTATTATGTTTATGGGTCTTGGGTAAACCATACATGTGTGCTGGTTTAGGATTGCTGGGTAACAAGTACAGAAGTTTCTTCCCTTCTCTAGTGCGTTTGAGTATTTGTCTGGTTTTGTATAGAAAATCTTTTGTGAGTGTCTCCCACTGTTGAGTGCTGATGGGCTCGTATGTAGACTGATCATTCAAAAGGTCCATCATTTTGGTGTTGTAGTCACTGGTGTTGAGTATGACGACTCCACCTCCTTGTCGGCGGTGGTGACGATAATGTTGGGGTCGTTGGCGAGGTCCTTAAGGGCAGTGATATATCGTCTAGGAAGATTAGAAGAAGGTTCACATAAAGCTGCAGTGAGAATGCCCTGTATATAACCCTTCTGGAAGTTACTGTCACTGTGTCTATGGTTTCTGGTAACTAGGTTGAGTTGATAGTTAGGTTTGCGTATGTTAGTGGTAAATTTGAGTCCCAGACTCGGTGCTTGTCTCGTAGTCAGTTAAGGTGCGTGACGATAGGTTGTTAGCAGGGATTCCCGTCCCATTTCCTTCCATCGACTGTTAGTGCAGAGGTGTACAGTGCAGAGGTACTGAAGATTGCGATCAAATTTCCTAGTGGTACCATCCACTAGTCGAAGTAGGTCTTCGTCCAAAGCTTGGACAAAGGTTGAAGAATTCTTCGTATCAAGATCCCATGATGTTGCAGTGTCTGACAGCTGTGATAAATGGTTTAAAAAAACGATTTGTATTGGACTGATGGAGCTACTGTGTGGTAAACGTTTCCTCAATAAAGATTCCCATATGTTACATAAGTGTCTCAATCTTCAACTTGTCGATTTTTTAAACCATTTATCACATCTGTCAGACACTGCAACATCATGGAATCTTGATACAAAGAATTCTTAACCTTGTCCAACCTTTGGACGAAGACCTACTTCGACTAGTGGATGGTACCACTATGACCCCGCCTCCTGCTTCGCCTCACCTGACTACAGTATATAAGCCACGTGTACGGCCCTATGCTATACTTCTACAAGATTGATGGACTGAACACATCGACTCCAGGCTGAGGGACTGATCACCTCAAACTCCTCATCTCCTTACACCCTTCTGATTTGTATTGGACTGATGAAGCCACTGTGTGGCGAAACGTTTCCTCAATAAAGATTCCCATATGTTGCATAAGTGTCTCAATCTTCAAGATTTCTGATACATGGGATCAACTTTGTCATCCTCCTTTGTACGTTTTCCAGTGCATTTAAATCCATTCTGTAATACGGTGACCAAAACTGTGCAGCATAATCTAAATGAGGCCTAACCAACGATATATAGAGTTGAAGAACAACCTGACGTCTTCTATTATTTATACTTCTTGATATGAAGCCAAGGATTCTGTTAGCTTTGTTGCGAACACTTATGCACTGTTGTCTTGGTTTTAGATTACTACTAACCAGAACTCCTAAATCCTTTTCGCAATCCGTAATATTAAGATCTACATTATTTAGTTTATATGTGGCATGGTTATTTTCCTGTCCAACATTTAGAACTTTGCATTTGTCTATATTAAACTACATCTGCCACTTCTCCGACCACTGCATTAGTCTATTCAAATCATCCTGGAGTCCTCTAATATCCTCATTAGAATAAATTGGACGGCCTATTTTGGTGTCATCAGCAAATTTGCTTATGAAAGTTAAGACACTTGTGCAACATCGGGTTATCTTTATTGTAAACATTTCGCCATCCAGTGGCTTTATCAATACAGATTCATGGACAACATATCTGTATTGATAAAGCCACTGGATGGCGAAACGTCTACAATAAAGATAACCAGATGCTGCACAAGTGTCTTAACTTTCATCTTGTCGGTATTGTATACCTGTCTTGCACAAATTTGCTTATGTCGCTAGCATTCACCATTGTGTACGTTGTGCTTTCAGGTGTTCGTGGGAGGTTGGGAGGGCAGCCTCAGGAGGAGGAGGAGGATATACGGAGGTCAGTGTGTGCTCACTTCAAGGAGAGACCAGGAGAGCACGACAACAGCAAGGAGATGCTGGTGTACGACGAGCGGGGCGCAGTGGCCGTGCGCTGCGCCACCGCCGCCGACGCCTGCTACTCCTACTGGACCTACCGCAGGTCGGCCGACAACGACTCCGAAATATTGTGGCTCAGTAGAGGTAAGTGTGTCTCTTCTCGTGCGCCAAACTCCCCCCCCCCCCCTTTCCCGTTTGTTTGAGTCTCCCCCTCACCCAACATTGTTTCCAGTTTTCTTTATTCTACACCCCTACCCAAGAATCCCAGTGGAAATAAGTCACTTTGTCTGACTTTTTGGGTAATCCAGGGTAATCTACACATATGCTGCAATGTATGATACTTTATGTAACTGTATTTATGTGTACCTGTACCTGAATAAACTTACTTACCCCCCTATTTTCCAAATTTCTTGAGTTTATCCTAACTGCTTACCGTTTTCTTGCTTCTATCCTACTGGTTTACCGTTTTCTTGCTTAATAAGTAAGTTTATTCAGGTATACACAAATACAGTTACATTGATTATCATACATAACAGAATATGTGTAGAGAACCTAGGATTACCCAAAAAATTCAGTGACTTATTTCCATTGGGATCCTTTTAATACCTTCTACCTTAATTGGGTTGCCGTTTCCTTGCTTCTACCCTAACTGGTTTACCGTTTTCTTGCTTCTATCCTAAGCAGGTCGCTCCTGCCTCTCTTATCTACTGGTCTTGGATATACTGGACGACGAACAGAATGCAGAGGTAGTATATATAAACTTTTCTAAAGCCTTCGACAAGTGCACAAACAGTGGGCAGATGGATCTCTAACTTTCTATCCAACAGAACACAAAGCGTAATAGTAAACAAAGTCAGAGGTTGCCACTGAAAAGTTGTGTTCCACAGGGCACAATACTCGCTCCCATCCTTTTCCTTATCGTCAAATGTAAAATAGACGGAGATGTAAACCATAGCATTGTGTCTACCTTTGCAGACGAGAGCAACGTCCATCAAGGATACTGTAAATCTCCAAGCGGATATAAACCAAGTTTTTTAGTGGGCCTCAGAAAACAGTATGTTAAGTGAGAAGAAATTCTAATTACTCTTATTTTGGAAAACTTGTGTTAAAAGTTAGAATGGAGTATAAGACAAATTCTTAAAACACATTAGATCGAAACACTAATGCGTAGGACTTAGGAGTGATAATGTCAGAGGATCTAACCCTCGAGAATCACAGCCATCACTACCATTTTTTTTATCATTCATTCTAGGCGCTAAACCCACGTGGGTCATTCAGTGCAAGACGTGGTGAAGGCTTGAGGCTGTGAGGAAAATGATAGGATAATGAGAATCTTCAAAACAAAAGATACCATGCCAATGATGATTGTCTTTTAAGGCACTTGTTCTATCTAGGCTGGAATACTGTTGTACACTAACAGCCCCTTACAAGACAGATGAACTTGTATATCTGGAAAATATACAGAGGACCTTCACTGCTTGTATAAGTTTAGTCAAGCGTTTGAAGTCCCTCGACCTGTACTCTTGGAGCTCAGGCAAGAAAGGTACATCATAATTTACACCTGGAAAATCCTAAGGGGACTGGTTCCAAATTTGCGCACATAAATTACTCCTTACGAAAGCAAAAGACTCGACAGACTGTAATATACCCTCAGTGAAGAGCAAGGACATCGTGAGTAAACAAAAAACACAATAAAACGTCAGGGGCCCAAGGCTGCTCAACAGTCTCCCATCATACATAAGGGTAATTACCGATAGGCCCCTGACTGTCGTCAAGAGGGAACTTGAAGGATACCTGGAAATCAGTGCATGACTAGCCGGGCTCTGGTCCGTAATTGGATTGCGTCTGGCCAGTGGAAGAGCAGGTTGTACTTGTGTAATAATACACTACCGACAAGATGAACTAGACACATGCGCAACATCTGGGTATCTTTATCAATACAAATTCAAGGACTTAACTGGAAAGATTCTTCAGCCCCAAGGCTGAGGGACTGATTACCTCATCTTTTGTATATAGTTCTACTATCTTCTAATTAAGTCCTTGAATTTGTACTGATAAAGCCACTGGATGGCGAAACGAGGAGCAGGTGTTCAGTACTGTAGCCTTGGGTTGATAATGTCGAACTCTTGTGTCTTCCATAGAAGAAGAAACAATTGTTTAAGTGGCTTTCTCTTGATGGAGAATTAGACAGATGTGAAACATCTGGGTATCTTTATTTGTAGACGTTTCGCCATACAGTGGCTTTATTAATACAAGGATATATTGTAAATAATGTAGAACTATATACAAAAGATGAGGTAATCAGTCCCTCAGTCTTGGAGTTGATGAAGAGCACCGTAGTCTTGATGAACCTGAAGAACACGCAGTAAGATTGTCGTTTATATACTGGTGTCAGATGAGGTATCGCTTTGTCCTGTCGTTCACGGACTCGAGGCTCCTTGGTAATTTGTCCTGTCGTTCACGGACTCGAGGCTCCTTGGTAATTTGTCCTGTCGTTCACGGACTCGAGGCTCCTTGGTAATTTGTCCTGTCGTTCACGGACACTCGAGGCTCTTTGGTAATTTGTCCTGTCGTTCACGGACTCGAGGCTCCTTGGTAATTTGTCCTGTCGTTCACGGACTCGAGGCTCCTTGGTAATTTGTCCTGTCGTTCACGGACACTCGAGGCTCTTTGGTAATTTGTCCTGTCGTTCACGGACACTCGAGGCTCCTTGGTAATTTGTCCTGTCGTTCACGGACTCGAGGCTCCTTGGTAATTTGTCCTGTCGTTCACGGACTCGAGGCTCCTTGGTAATTTGTCCTGTCGTTCACGGACTCGAGGCTCCTTGGTAATTTGTCCTGTCGTTCACGGACTCGAGGCTCCTTGGTAATTTGTCCTGTCGTTCACGGACACTCGAGGCTCTTTGGTAATTTGTCCTGTCGTTCACGGACACTCGAGGCTCCTTGGTAATTTGTCCTGTCGTTCACGGACTCGAGGCTCCTTGGTAATTTGTCCTGTCGTTCACGGACTCGAGGCTCCTTGGTAATTTGTCCTGTCGTTCACGGACTCGAGGCTCCTTGGTAATTTGTCCTGTCGTTCACGGACACTCGAGGCTCCTTGGTAATTTGTCCTGTCGTTCACGGACAGAGGCTCCTTGGTATTTTCTCCCCTTTACACTATTTTTGTTTTTCGTTTTCAAGAAAGTTTGTAGTCTGAGGAAGTTCTGTGACTTTTTCTTAATGGTGAGAGTCCGGAGCATTGTTTTTCGTGGCACTCTTATAGTCCCCTCCAGGCACTGCTTAAGACTAGTCCGGAGCATTGTTTCTCGTGGCACTGTTATGGTCCCCTCCAGGCACTGCTGACTAGTCCGGAGCACTGTTTCTCGTGGCACTGTTATGGTTTCCTCCAGGCACTGCTGACTAGTCCGGAGCATTGTTTCTCGTGGCACTGTTATGGTCCCCTCCAGGCACTGGACTAGTCCGGAGCATTGTTTCTTGTGGCACTGTTATGGTCCCCTCCAGGCACTGCTGACTAGTCCGGAGCACTGTTTCTCGTGGCACTGTTATGGTTTCCTCCAGGCACTGCTGACTAGTCCGGAGCATTGTTTCTCGTGGCACTGTTATGGTCCCCTCCAGGCACTGGACTAGTCCGGAGCATTGTTTCTCGTGGCACTGTTATGGTCCCTTTCCAGGCACTGCTGACTAGTCCAGAGCATTGTTTTTTGTGGCACTGCTATCGTCCCCTCCAGGCACTGCTGACTAGTCCGGAGCATTGTTGCTTGTGGCACTGCTCTCATCCTCCAGGCACTGCTTAAGACTAGTCCGGAGCATTGTTTCTTGTGGCACTGCTATCTTCCCCTCTAGGCACATCTGACTAGTCCGGAGCATTGTTTCTCGTGGCACTGCTATCGTCCCCTCCAGGCACTGCTGACTAGTCCGGAGCATTTTTTCTTGTGGCACTGCTCTCCTCCAATCACTGCTTAAGACTAGTCCGGAGCATTGTTTCTTGTGGCACTGCTCTCATCCTCCAGGTACTTCTTAAGACTAGTCCGGAGCATTGTTTCTTGTGGCACTGCTCTCATCCTCCAGGCACTGCTAACTAGTCCGGAGCATTGTTTCTTGTGGCACTGCTCTCATCCTCCAGGCACTGCTTAAGACTAATCCGGAGCATTGTTTCTTGTGGCACTGCTCTCATCCTCCAGGTACTTCTTAAGACTAGTCCGGAGCATTGTTTCTTGTGGCACTGCTCTCATCCTCCAGGCACTGCTAACTAGTCCGGAGCATTGTTTCTTGTGGCACTGCCTCATCCTCCAGGCACTGCTTAAGACTAGTCCGGAGCATTGTTTCTTGTGGCACTGCTCTCATCCTCCAGGCACTGCTAACTAGTCCGGAGCATTGTTTCTTGTGGCACTGCTCTCATCCTCCAGGCACTGCTTAAGACTAGTCCGGAGCATTGTTTCTCGTGGCACTGCTCTCATCCTCCAGGCACTGCTTAAGACTAGTCCGGAGCATTGTTTCTTGTGGCACTGCTCTCATCCTCCAGGCAGTGCTTAAGACTAGTCCGGAGCATTGTTTCTTGTGGCACTGCTCTCATCCTCCAGGCACTGCTTAAGACTAGTCCGGAGCATTGTTTCTTGTGGCACTGCTCTCATCCTCCAGGCACTGCTTAAGACTAGTCCAGAGCATTGTTTCTCGTGGCACTGCTCTCATCCTCCAGGCACTGCTTAAGACTAGTCCGGAGCATTGTTTCTCGTGGCACTGCTCTCATCCTCCAGGCACTGCTAACTAGTCCGGAGCATTGCTTCTTGTGGCACTGCTCTCATCCTCCAGGCACTGCTTAAGACTAGTCCGGAGCATTGTTTCTTGTGGCACTGCTCTCATCCTCCAGGCACTGCTTAAGACTAGTCCGGAGCATTGTTTCTTGTGGCACTGCTCTCATCCTCCAGGCACTGCTAACTAGTCCGGAGCATTGTTTCTTGTGGCACTGCTCTCATCCTCCAGGCACTGCTTAAGACTAGTCCGGAGCATTGTTTCTTTTGGCACTGCTCTCATCCTCCAGGCACTGCTTAAGACTAGTCCGGAGCATTGTTTCTCGTGGCACTGCTCTCATCCTCCAGGCACTGCTTAAGACTAGTCCGGAGCATTGTTTCTTGTGGCACTGCTCTC